TTTTATTTAACTACATACACATCATCCACTCATACGGCCGGTTGATGAACATTCTATGGACTTGTAGACGTGTCTCGACTCCTTTGTATTCTCGACTACGGACTACCTCGTTTCTCATAGCCTAGGACTGTGCTTCATAGCCTTGCATAGGCTTTGTACTATATTTATTGGGTACAGGATTCCGCAGCGACTACGGACTGGGGCACAGTACTAACACGACTCGGTCTGACTTACTTATTAGTTTCATAGCCTCCTGCGGCTGCGCATGTATGTACTATATAAGGACGACCCTAGTAGAGGGGAGTTCTTTAACCTATTCATCTCTGATTTACCTCGTCTATCTGCTCGTACTTGAACTAGTCCTTTCAGCAGGACTAGCTTCCCTTATCGACATCAAGAACCTTTGTCTGTGTAGAATCGCCACTACACCAGACTTTTGACCTAGAAGCAAGGCTTCTTAGAACACGGCCGATCGCACCTGTGATAGCTATCACACCTGCACCAGAACGCGCGTCCACTCTTGAATCTCTATTCAAGCCTGGACATTACAGTCAGAAGAATCGAAGTTGAAGTCAAAGCTGGCGATACCGAGACCGAGAGAAGGTGGTGTGGCAGCCCGAGATCGATGAACCAGTGGGAGGGAAAGTGGTGCATGTACAGGAAGCGGAATGCCTGGACCCGGACGGACATGAAGAGCGCATCCACTGCCTTCCTTGCAGCATGTAGGACAGAACTTGCAACGGGATGATTGGGCCTTGCGCCTGCAGTTGAGCTTGTTACAGTCGGCATAGACCCGTCGCGGGCGCGGTTGCGTGTCTTGTGTACCAGAGGGAGCGGGTTGCGTGTCAGCGGGAGGGATGAGGGGTGTGAGAAATGGAGCGGGTTCGGTAGCGCTCATTTTGGGAGTCTGGCGGTGGGACAGGTTCAACACAGGACGCCAACGAAAATACCCACACCCGCCGAGATCCTTTCCACACTACAAGATCTTTGTCAATCATATTGCTTCCTGGGAATGGACCGGACCAACATACCAGGTAGTATGCTCGTCCGTATGTAGCCTTCTTGCGGTCTTTGACAACCTGCCAATGAACCAGTAGCCTACACTTTGGGTTCCAGCAATTAAAGGGGTCGGTAGAGGGATCCATAAGCCGTCAGATGGTCAGGGTAATATGGCGGTAAGAAAAATGAACAAGGATGTAGTAGCCAAACACTGGCGGGCTGAGTGCCGCAGAGAAGGGGTAGCGCGAGGAGAGAGAGCAGAATGAACAAGAGGAGCCGGATTGATAAAGGGCTCGGTGTATAGATTCGACTTTATCAACATGATCGGTTCACACTGTTGCGATTCGAAACAAATATATTATTGTGAAGTGATCCGAGACAGTACAGGATGATCAATGGGCGACGGAACAAGTGCCACAGACTCGAGTACACCGGATTAGGCAATGGGTGGAGTGGCGCAGTGGAGTGGAGCGTGGAGGGTCAATGGAGTGTCGGGAACCTGACCTTTTTGGAAACGAGGCTCGACGTGCGAGTGCGGGACTTGCCGAGCCGATTCCCTTATGTGGCCTGTGGAGGTTCGACGAGGTTCGGAGGGCGAAATAAAACGATAGAAATGTGGATAAAAATGTGGGGGACTCGTGGAAACCGTGGCGTCATTCGTGGGTGGCGTGCGGGGGCGAATAATACAGAAAATGAATTAAAAGGAGGTCATATACGTAGGGTACAGGTGACGGTTATGACAGCTACAGGGTTAGGTTAGGTTTTGGGTTAGGTTAGGGTTTGGCTATAGGTGGACACCTTAGGTCTAGGACCAGGCTACCTTAGCATGATCCTCCTCTGGTCCACACCAGTCAACCCATGAACTTGAAGTCCTCGTCGTGGGCTTCATTGCGCTCTTGCTCTCGTCGTTCTTGGTGTTGTCTCCTCTCGTATTCCCTGTCTTCCCGCAAAGTGTGCACAACATTTGACCTGAAATGAAGACCTGATGCTCTGAGATCTGATCGTCAGTGCTGATCCACTTGTGCCACTGTCCAATGAGGTCCCTTCAAAGTCAGCACTCTGTGCCAGTACTCCTCTGTTGGATGCCTTCGATACCTTGTTCTCTATTGATCAATGGGGTGCTCTACTAAGTATACTGAGCATCAATGTGTTTCTCGGAAATTTTTTTTGAGCGCAGACATCATGATCCGTAGATGCTCGACCATCGCGCAATATGAAAGCTCATTCTTGATCTGCATATCCTCATCGTCAGCGGCGTATGTGAGTGATGCTTCTGCGTGACATCTGTAAGGGCCTTATACGGCTTAGCTTCTTCTTATTCATTAGTCTCAGGAACAAACTCTGCCCTTGTGAATCAGGAGGCTCCCTCCACAGCAGGTGCACTTTCCCACAGACTAATAGAGCACGAGAGCATGCTGCAGGATGAGAATGCCGTGGATGCAGCAGAGATCTTGTAGTGAAAAAAGCTTCTTGAGGTTGAGCAATAAACAGGAAGATTCAAATGATTTTTGAAGAAAAGAAATGAGTGCTCGACGACGGAAACAAGTCTCGAACACATCATCGAGTGTTGCGACTGTTCATACCTCTTCAGCCTTGAGTAAGTAATCTCTCCCATATGCTTCGCCACAGCAGGTAAGGAGCTTGTTTTTGCGTAAGAGCAAAAGCATCAAAACCCTGGGTATGATTGATCGCTCTCCCTTGAAGTGATTCTCACGGCGTGAGGTTATGAATTTCTTCCATGTGACGGTATGAACACTTCAACCAATTTTCACTAACCATCAAAGTACTATTCTATAGGTCATATCACTTCTAGATCTGGCAGCTTGATGGTTGACGCGCGCCAATCGTTCAGCTCCCACCCTGACACGTACAGGCAGGGGGCGTTTGGTCAATTCCCGCATCTGCCACCAAGGCCCCCTTAGAGCGCTCAAGGTGGGTGGGTGACCACTTATCGTATGAGATGATCATCGTGAATTTTACTGTTGTCATCGATATTGTACGGTTCGGGCTCACTGCTTGATTGAATGACAATGGTGGTGCGATGGATTAGATGTAGACTCCGTCACCATTTTGCTATGGCGCATAGAGCTACATTACATGAGCCGTCAGATGGTGTAGAAAGAGTCGGGATCTTGCTCATCCGGCGAGCCGCACTTAATGAGTTGATGATAATCAACGACATCATTAACAATACATCCTCAAAACTCTACAGAGGTGATGTTGTCGATGCCTTCCAGACGACGCTACCAGCAGAATGAGTTATGGCCATAAAGAGTTGGAGAGATGATGTTGGAAAGACGAGCGCACGCACGAGCGAACTAAACGACGGCTGCGGTACACACTTCAACGTGAGCTCTAGAATAATAAAGTATCTGCCGCTATGGAGCTCGGCGCCGATGCGTGCAAGTACACCCCAAACGCCGGCCATTGGCATCCGCACCTTTTCGGGCGATATGCGCTGAAGGACAATCAGAAACAAATTCAGTCAGTGAATTTATCGTAGGAAAAGCGAGAGAAGAGCGCACAAATCTCGGCTCGAATTGAGGGACACAGCGAGATGGACCCGTAAACGTACATGAAGGATGAAGGGATGCACACCCCTGTATATATGGGTCTTCGAGAGTAAGCCTGAACATCTAAGAAATGAAAGGTGTGTTAGATAATGTCAAAGTCATTAAGACCTTTGGGGAAAATCAGGACACACTAGACACTGTTGAGCATTTGATTGCCTTCGAATTTGAAGCAGAATCTGCACGATTCTGGCACCATAGCTCGAATCGAGTGACGAAACCGCAAACAGCTCGGACCGAGAGCGGTCGACGAAGCAATATTGAGCGTGACTCAAATTGGTGAGGGGAACGGTTAAGCATATCGACCTTGGAACTCGGGAGCCTATCAATAGTGAACTCCCCGGCCATAAATGAACAAATGAGGTGAGTGCACTACACCGCCAAGATTGTTCTGTAGGTCTGAGCTGCGTAGAGCACTTAGCATTAATGGCGCGACGAGAGCGTAGGTAGACGTACTAATCAGGAATGATCCATGAATGCGGGACGAGCCGAACGTCGGAAAGAAAGCAGCGGTGAGGAAGATCCTCGAGACGTCAATGAGAAAAATGGTGCGCTGAATTGTTTGCACATGGCATACTTCAAACCCTTGCCGGACGAAATGGGCCATGTTGAGCACGACATTCATACGAAGCTTCGAGAGTGGTCATGCCTTTTAAATCGAATTTCCACTCATTACAGAGACGTATATGACGGTACACGATGACCTACAAGCCGAGCTAATATATCATGTCGTCGGTAGTCAGCTAACTTAACCCTTCGCGAAACATAGAGTTGGAGACAAGGAAGCTCACCATGCAATCTTAACCCTTAGGCTCCATCTCCAAAACGATCACCGCGAGCTCCACAGCATCTCGTCAAACCGCCTTCGCTATCGCCTCTAGCCACGTCGTTCAGAACCGCATCTCAAAGAACCACATTCGCCAATTGCGACCCTCCTCGCCACCGCCACCTATGCCACTGCTCGTACCGCCCTCATAGTCATTCATGTCCATCTTCTGTCATGAACTCCCGCTTTCTACTATTCACTTGTATACGCACCCGCTTGTATCCACACCGTTCGCCTCTCCATCCACCCAGTCCTTTCTCCAAGACACGGCCTCTGTCCAGCCAAACGCCAGATCGGACATGACGTCATTCTTCGAGGTTGGCGGAGGCGTAAGATAGCATTATCGAAGTCACAGGCATGCCAAATGTACCGGCTGAAGGGGTAGAGCTAAAGGCAGCGGCGGTATTTGTGTTGAGAGATATCGCGGTGGCGACACTGAATGAAGTGGCGGTGGAGCAGGCAGAGTTCGAAGTGGTGCCGTGACGAACTTGAAAAAGTGAGGCGTGCAACACGCAGGTTCAACGTGAGAACAGGGAAGATGGTGACTAAAGCGACAGAGCTCGTTGAAATAGACGTACGCTAGTATCAAGGTGTTCGTTTCGCCACTGGTAGACGTTCGTATAGGCCCTGCCCAGCGGTCTAAACATCTTACACGTCCTCCGACCACCTCGCCTCCTTCGATCTTCGGGGAGGGAGATGTTGTGCTGGTACAAATGACAACGAAGAACGAAGGGCCATGAGAAGAAGTGGGCGGCATTTGAACCCGATTTAACTGTCGATGCTGCTAGTAGGCATCGGATCGTCTGGGTTTGGAAGCGCTATACCGCACGCCGAATGGTTCAGAATGTGGAGGCGATGTTGGTGGGTGAAAATGTGAAGGAAATGGACGTACCTGCGGCGAGGATTTCTCGAACCTACACAATGAATCAAATGCACGCAATGACTGCAGACAACATTCGGCCATCGTCATCGCCGGGGTTTGTGTATGAAGGCCTGAAAATTTAGTGGTTCAGAGACAAAGACATATAGCTTCAAATGAACCAGGTGTTTCACGGCCCGCAAAGGCATCGTTTGAGGCATGGTCGTTGAACGGCGGGATAGAGAGTCATCGCAGGCGCATTTTAAACAGCGAGGTTGCCGGCTTGCTGGCAGTCATGACGTTCGTGCTCGGATTGATACACCTTGGAGGGACATGTCTGATGATGAAAAAGGGGGAGCAGAAGGGGTATATTGATTGCAGTGAAGGCTCGAAAAGAGTATGGTCGAGGTTTGATCGGGGATGTTTTTGGCTTGGCTCAAAGCGTGGCGTCTGTTTGCGCTTGTTAGGTTCCAAAAGCGATAGCCTGCGCCACCGCACCGTTGAACAGCGTCCTACGCGTTCTTGTCGTCCTCGTCCGCCTCTGACGGTCCTCTGAGTCTCAGACTTACCGCATCTCCTCAGACAATGGTACCGTAACGAAAAGCCAGAGCTGAAAAGTCAACCCCACGCCTCGAATCCTTAGGCTATCTCTCTCTCTTTGTCTTCTCCACTCGGCTTCGCTCTCGCCACTCTTCAGACTAAGTACGTCTTGCTTCTCTTCTGTGAGCTAGGAACGGACATGGGCAGTGGCTGAAACGAGAGCAGGGCGAATTACTCAAAACGTCGTGGTATATCAGAACGGATGTCATATATAGGAGTAGGATGGATTCAATGGTCGATGGAGCCCTTCAGTGCGCCTCTTTCACACATTCTCCCCCCCCTCTCTTCCAAGTACTAACCCGATCCTCTTTACTCCCTCAAATATATAAGGCGTACTCATCCGATATTACTTCAACAGCGCCCAAACGCATATGCATCTCTCCCACCGTCGTTCTCTTCGGCTCCCGGTTTATACATACTCAAGGGGTCAACAGATTTCCACAAGTCACCGGGACATTCGACGGACTACCGTTGCAGACCACTGGGAGTAGACAGATTGTCGTGGTGGTGGGTCCAAAAAAGATGATCGTGGCGCCACAATCGGAAGATACAGTGGAAAGTTATATGTCGTTCGAGCAAGGATCCTCGCGCCAGACCTCGCCAGATCCGTTCAACTGGCTTTCATCAAGGACAACGCAGGATGCTCTTTCTAACACGCTCTCCATCAGCCATGAACATGTATCTTACTATGTACCTTGTTACGATATCAACAAACATACAGCTCGTCATCTCCTTGCATCCTCAGACTCCTCTTGGACTCGAAGGGATCGTACTCGACGTCATGTCTACTAGCCAACATCTTTTTCTCGCATCCCCTTCGAAGTCGTCTAAAGATGAAGTCAATTCCTGGGCCCTGCTCCACATCATCGGCGCAAAAGCGAGCCTTGGGTCCCATTCAGCCTTTCCAAGTGCCTGTCAAGCTTCCCTCGTTCGGAGACCGCGGTGTCCTTCGTTCCTAACCGTTCGGGGAAACAACGAGCTGAGGCTTTAAAGGAAGGACTTATGGAGGCAGGAGGTCTCAAAAGGTTGAAATCAGCGAATTCAATGAAAACACAAGCGGAAGACGCAGCGGGGATGGTGAGAGGTGTGGCGTCGATGAAGGACTTAGGGCTCCGAGCGAAGGGAATGTTGATATTGGATCGAATGGTAATAGTGGGGAACAGTAGACATCCAAAGGTTCGTCCAGTCCGGATTGTTCGGTCTTTACTCGATCTTTCTTTATCACTCTTTGATCTCTCCCACTATCTCGTTTTCTCGTACAATATTTGGTCGCATCGAACAATTCATGTTTTCTCATTCACATCAGTAATCCATTCCGGGACTGACACGTCCGTACCCTCTAATAGAAACTCGCTGAACCCAATGCCCTCGCCCTCCCTACGACTGGCCCACAACACACCATCCATCCCCTCTGACACTCCCTTAACCCCACCTCTACATACGTCTTCATTAGACGGCTCCTCACCTCCGTCCCGATTAACAAGGAGCTCATCGAACACAGGACTCATCTCGACTCGTCTCGGCCGTAGTCCTGAAGCCTCGATAGCTGATATTTAGCAGAGTCCGTGGCCGACGAGTTATTCGAAGAGTTCGAAGAGTTGTCGAGGAGTATCTAGTGCGTAATATGGGTAGCGTCGGCTCTATGGATTGACTTTAGATGGACCAATCCCCGGCGAAGTCTTCTTACAAGACCGCTCTCAACCATACGGCCTCCAGCATCTTCGGCATCCGTCTCCTGAACCCCGGCGACATTCAAGAGTCAAACAAGCTCACTACGTTTACACATCACGACCTCGTCATCATGCCGTGCATTCGCATCGACACCCATTGTACCGATCACCTCATCTTCTTCCTCCCCTTCACGACCACCAATCATAATCTCAGTCGATCCTTAGGCTTCATACCTTGTCATCGTGCGACCCGAAACTGGACTATACTAAGGCCAATTGCGCCGTCCGCACCGTCAGCAGCAGCGTCGACGATCTTAACGTGGACGACCCTCCTTCGTCCATAGCATCGCGAGGCTTACTAGACGCGTCGAGGTTGTGCGGAGAGGACGGGAGCTCCTGACTCTTTTTTCACCCTTGTACGTATACAGTATCTGCCCGTTTCTCAGATATTTTCTCTTTCGTTCCACCGGGTGTATGTACCTGGTATACGCCGCCGCCGCCACGGTGAATGCATTAATTTCACCTTCTCTTTGATGTTCGCTTGAGCTATGCTCAACCAAACTTGCCCATAAATATCGGTACTGCGACGACTTTGGCGGCACTGTCTGGATACCGTCTAAATAGGACTGTGTGGCGCATTGTGGTCTCTCTGCATTTGTACCTTGAAGGAGCTGATCGATTCCACATAGTCGTGCAGAAGCATGTGTAGTTGGTTGGTTCCTCTTCGTGCGACAGCCAGTCGTGCTCTTTACGCAACTCGCTTGCCAGATCTGCTCATGCTCGCAGTTCATGTAATTGGAACCGAGATCGTAGCCATACCTCAGAGTTGGACCTTACCGCGTTCGTTTGGCGAACATTTTTTAATGGTTATTTTAATCGTTCATCGTTCTAAAATTACCCACTCTATGATACCAAACTCACGCGTCGCCACACAGGACGATATATAAAAAAATGCATTCTCGCGCAGGCTTGGCTTATTCCTGGTCCAGTATTATAGAATGGGCTAAGAAGAACATCGTCGACAACCATCTCTCCGAAAATCCTTCCTCCTATGAATTCGAGATCGTCATGTCCCGCTGGTGGAAGAACAACTGGAAAGGAAGCGACAAGGCATGCTGGTTTGTTATATCTTCTGTTTTATCGACTCTCTCTGACTCAAGCACTGGCAGTCCCTAGCCATATCGTGTACGCATGAATCCTACGGTGGAGCTGCCCATGAAACCCTCCTGCGATGGCTTCGTGTGAGCTTTCCAAAGTATCCCCTCTCTCTAGCTACGGAAGAATCACTCAGCCAGTCTTCGTGGCACTCCAACGAAGCCGTCACCTCTGACTTCCTCACTTTTATACCGCGCTACACTGATACCATCGAACTTGCCAGGACTACGTTCTGTGGAATCGGCTGGGCTCGTGTCTCGAAGGGTAATAAAGCTGAAGAGTCCTTAGGAACATACTGCGAGGCACCTAGTCTCCGCCCTACGTGTACTCGGGCGATCTACAATGTCGGCGTTGCATGTGCGTGTCTTCGCCAGTGAGGATGGAGATCCTAATCTGACTTTACGACGATCCAGACCTCAACATCGGAGCCCACAAGGAAGCTGTGGAGCATTTTTAAACGCACTGGCCATGCAAAAAACCACCGGAGAAAAGAGCGAACAGCTCTGGGTTACCCTCCGAAGGGCGTTCGCGATGAGGGTATGTGGCCTACTTTGTCCCCTCCCTGAAAACCTGCCTTGGGTAGAAGATCTCACTTGTCGTTTCTGGCTTGTCACAGAACCGAACCGACTTGGCGCAGTCAAAAATAATCCCAATTCTGACATATTCCGTAAAGAGTGCTTTGATTTCTAGAAAGGCTGCCTACGGCTAATGCTATTGCGTGGCACCTGTAATGTCCGTGTATTTCCAGAGTCGCTTCCCCGAATGCTCGATAGCTGGGGCACGCGCTCGATGTAGCCCAATCGTTATTGTATCAAATTGTAGGTACCGTTCACTGAGGTGAATCGTACATGAAATACCGCCACTGCACGGTCGTTCCACGAGGGCGTTTTGGACCTTGATGGCTTATAGTAGCGATTCATCTACAGCTGAAAACGTCCTAAGGTTTACCTCCCAGTCCATATAGTATCTTGATTCGTCCGACGCTAAGTTTCAGCAAGGTACGGTCGAGGGGCGCTGCCTTTTTGGAGAGCTAATGCGCTCATTTACTTATCTGTGTACCGTGGTAGGCTCTAGAGTAAAGGGTGTGGGTTCCACGTGAGAAGACGGGCCGGAACATGGCCACGCACTGACAATGTGTTCACCACACGCATTGTCGCTCTCATCCTTGACTTGTCCGATATCTTCATATATCAGTCTGTTGCCTTGGCTGTCTTCAGCGCACACAACATCCGTGCTTTGTTCTGGAATACTGCTCCCAATGTCAAGAATCGTCTTTTCTGAAATAACTGGCTTCACTCCAGATGACGCTTTCATCTACCCCTCTAATTCAGAATCAGACGCTGGGTCCGACTCTGGGTCTGGGTCCGACTCTGTGACCTCTAAGCGTTCTGAAAGAAGAGCTAGGTATCCAATGACCATCACCATCATGAATACCAGAGGCCAATCCAACAACTGTCAGCTAGGTAAGCTCAGTTGTGTCTTCACCGGCACTTGGGACGCCTTCGGCTGCCAGAACGCGTTACTCTGCCAAACAGCCGAGAAACGCTGTTTGCGCGAGCAATCGAGAAGCTCGGGCACTGCAGCACTGCTCCGCGTTTTGGTAGAGCAACGTTGCAATGTTGATGGCAGCCGGACGCAGCCTAATTATCAGGCCACACAATTTGGGTCTTACTGGTGCCACATCGCGTTCTTAGGTGTTTTTCCAACCGACACGGTATCCAACATCTTTCATCGTCTGCAACGCCAACGTCGGGTGCCTAAGCTGAAGCGGGGCCAGTTCTTCCTCTGCCGTTCCTCCCTAGGCTTCGGTGTGCTCCACAAGTCGGCTACCCTCGAGGATGAAGATGTTAGTCCTGACTCCGTCCTGTTCCTGCTGGCTCGATATGAGAGTGGTGGTTTACAGCTCAAGAGACCCGAGGGGGGTTCGTCCTACTCCATCTTATTCTGTCATTGCAGAAAAAAATTGAGGACCGTGATGTAGCTCGTGTGCTCCGTCCCAGACCTCCCAGAACTACCAACCCAGCCTTTTCCTCCAATACGCCGCCCGCCTTCACTTACTCTGGAGAAGATCCCGCCCTTGTTATCAAGAGCAAGTGTACTCTTGACAGCCTCATAGACGACTACGTTGATTCTTTCGAGGGCTGTGGAATTGAGGACAAAGATGAGAAGGGCTATATCAGCGCGAAATTGAGGGAGGCTTTGGGAGAGATGTTCTTGGTGCCGGAGGGAGTGAGAAAGAACAAAAGTGGGGAAGAGAGCGAGAAGGAAGGGGAGGACCGGGAGGACCGGGAGGATGGAGAGGACGGGGAGGATAGGGAGAATGAGGAGGACGGAGAAGACGAGGAGGACGGAGAAGATGAGGAGGACGGGGAGGACTGGGAGGACTGGGAGGACGGGGAGGACGGGGAGGACGGGAAGGGAGAGGAGGGCGAGGAGGGCGAGGAGGGCGAGGAAGAAGACAAGGAGGACAAGTACAAGGGGCGAGTGGCACAAGCGGGCCCAAAAGCTCTCTACCGTGAGGTTGAGATAGAGGATGTGGTGACGAGTCAAGAGAGGGAAGAGGGTGAGGTCTCAGATGATGACTTCAAGCCGGTGAGTTGTTTCAGTTGTCCGGGCACGTCGTGATCTGACAGGAACACAGAGTGCTCAGGGCTCTCAGTACTCCGTTATCAGCGATGATGACTTGGAAGACGGTGAAGTCTCTGGCTCCGAGGCGCAAGACTTCCCGACTGTGAGTTATAGTGCAATGCTCACCTACTAGTCTGTCTAAACAAAGATATAGGTCTCTGAAGCTGTCTCTTCTGAGATCGCTGCTCATGTAGCAAGGGAAGAAGGTGGATCTGAAGCATCGGAAGATGATGACCCACCAGCACCGGTAATTATTCTCGCTCATAATACAGGTAATTTATATTTAATTTGGCTACACACTCTAGGCCTACCGACAATCATACATGGCAAATAAACGAACACTTCGCAATCCAAAACAGGACTGGCAGAAAGTGGACGCTGACATTGCTTCGTGAGTTTTGATTGTGTTATATTATGGGTATCGCAATATTGAGCCTTTACCTTGTTAGTTCAACGCAAGCTGTCTCTCAGGTCTCAGGGCCTACTGCATCTAGCCTGAAGAGAAAGAGGCGAGGTAAACAATCCTCTTCCAACTTCCTTGCTAAGCAGCAGAAACGCCACAAACCAAATGATGAGGATCGAAGGCAGAAGAGGCTACATCGGCGAATGCTTGACAGCGCGACCTTAATGCAGGTAACTTCCTTTAGGCTGCTAAAGGAGGCAGGTGTCACCAAAACTGGATGGCATGGCCTTCCTCCACCTCCTTTGGCCCGTAGGACTATTTTGAGCCAATGGAATTCTGGGAAAATTAAAGAGCACTTGACAAAGTTTACCCTCATTCCTTACTATGAAGAGTAGGCCTGGTTATATATTGTGCCAACTTCTGCTCAGCGCTCATACATAATACTCAGGGATCCTGTTCCGGTGTGGCTTTTGGATGGAGATTCCCTAGGTTGGGGTTACCGAACGGCCAAGGCTCCCTGGCTGGAGGCCCTTGGTCCTGATATAGCTTGTGCATTCGAGCGATTGGCGATGTATGACATCAACAATCTTGCCGTTAAGAAGGAGTGTAAAGGGGGAACTCGGGGAGATCATGTTCCTATTATCATTGGTCATTATCGACAATCTGCTAAGGTATGGATAGATTTATTTTACTAATTCATATCTGGCTGATGACAATCAGGTCCCTTCCCTTACAGGATGGCATAAAGGCAAAGAGAAACTCATTTCTGCATTCATGGCAGACCCTGCCATTCAACGACTTCAGTAAGTTGATATTATTTTTTTCTTCTATAGGTCATACCACTTATATAATGTCAGTCAATTTGTGTCCAAGGTAGTAGAATTGGCCTTTCCAGGTATCGCGGACCGTTTTAGGCGCTGTGCTGCCTGGCATAAGGAGAGGCATGGAATAGAGCCGATGTTTGGCCTTTTCTGGAACTTCTGCCTCAACGGGATCCTGATTGATCAGAGACGGGTCCACTGTAGGCCCCACGCTGACTCTAAGAATCCTATTGGAGTTTGTGCCTTAATGACATATATTACCTGGGGATGTGTGTATCTTAATTACTTCTTCAATTATGTTATACTAATTGAGTTTGCAGCATACTTTAACGACACTGTTCGTTCCTGGCTAGTAATTTGGGAGGCTGGTGTCATCATTCAACTTCCCCCATGGGTCCTTTTTATCTATCCATCTTCCTTGTTCTATCATTTCAATATTGATATCCATGGTGAGTGATTTATTTGAAAGGTCAATACTCCATCTCACTTTGCAATCTAGATATAAAGTTTGTGACTACGGATGGGGAGGACCTTCCAACTCCAGAGAATTCCAAGCCTATACAAGATGGAGATGATGATGGTAGGGGCAGTGTTGTATGGTTCAACATGGCCACCATGCTTCAGTCTTCAGAGTCAGGTGCCGATACTCTGAAGGAGGTCAGAGAGAGAGGGGAGTCAGGCTACGCAGAAATGACTGTGCAGGAGGCTTTTGAGTATATTGCTATCAGAAAGCCTGTTCAACCAAGGAAGTAGGAAGTTTGTTTTCTATCAAATTGATGTATGTACTTGTCATGGTTATGCCCACTGGCCCAATCTGTTCCTTAACTTGTACAGTACATCTAGAATATTCTATAAACCTGCTCCACTTGCCTGTAAGGGCAAGGAATGACAACATGCGGCTGCACCGCTGACTCAGACTGAATACCGAAACGTATCGAAACGTCTCGCAACGTCGAGCTGCAACTAGCTCGATTCTCAACAACAATGGAGGCAAAAGGGGATGGAGAAAAAGGGGGCCTATCCACAGGACTATTTAACAACAAACAGGAAACAAGGAGAGGGTAGAAACAGACAGACAAGCAAGCAAGTAGGTCAACAGTGTTCGCGAACGGGCTAAGCTAAAGTTGGGGCGAGCAAGGAATAAAGGGGGGAAGGCGAGAGCGGACTAGTTGCGAGACGAAAGGGGCGAGAGAAGGTTCCAAAGTAGCACACAGAAAAGTATCACACAGTCTAAGCACAAGGCTCGAGGCCGAATAACTACAAGGAGGAGCGACGATATGATTAAACAGATGGACTAATGGCAGGGTTGATTGGGTTGTTGGTTTGGTGTACGATGCGGGGGGAATGAGGCAATGAGAGTGAAGAGGTACGTTGTACAGATGACAATGTGGCAACCAAGAAAGTGTTCACGGAAGTGTCAACAGAAAGCACAGAGAAAAGGGAAAACGAAGCGACATTAAAGATTGCGGGGTTTGAATACAATGCGCCATGGGATGTGATCGAGAGGGAGAAAAGAGAGAGATACCATATTCATAGTCCCCGAACGTCAACGAAGGCCAACGCCGGAATAGCATAGTGAACAGATGGATGAGACTTTACGCGGGCTAATGTAAGTGGTATATTGCATGGAAAACATTGCGACGATGATGGCGGCGGCCATGCATGACTTGAAGGCATAGAACTTGAGGTCGACAACGACCCATTACATCCCGTATCCAAAGGACGAACGGGAGTAAGGGTCGTTGATAGTCGGGGCCATCCCAGCGTTAGGGAACGAGTTGACGCCCGCGAAAGGGGAACCGTTCGAGAAGCCACCGTTCGCCAACGCCGCCTGGTTATGGCTCGAGTTGCCCTGGAGGACGTAGCCGTCGATCGAGTGCGAGCGCGTGGTATGGAGAGGGGCGTGAAGACCGCCGATAGCTCCTTGCGCCTGCAGACCGCCGCCGTTGGCCATGGGGTAGAGGCCGTTCTGACTGTTGTACACGTCCGCGAGGGGATTAGGTTGTATGTGGCGGCCGGCGCCGTGAGCGGCGTGAGGTAGGCCTGCCATGCCTTGGCTACCGAGAGCCACGTTGATCAGGGCCTGCTGATTGTGGAAGCCTCCGAAGTGGTCCATCTGCTCGCGCTGGAGCTTGTTCTGGATCCGCTTGCCGTAAGGAGTGTTGCGAATGAGGGGCAAGACCGGTCTGATGCCGTCGACAAGAAGGGCGCGTTGCGCGGGCTCGGCGTAGTCCAAGGCAGTCTACAGCGAGACAAGTCAGCCCACACGTCTCGAAGGATAGATGGTCAGAAATAACGAACCTGGACGCAGTAGTTTCCGTACGAGTCACGAAGAAGTTTCTCTAGCCTTGTGCGATTCAGGAGCTCGTCGATCTCGGATCAACATCTTACGAGTACCGTGTTCGGCGACACGGATACACTAGACAAACCCAATCAGAATACGAACGGCATGATACAGGAAAAACGGTACTGACCTTCTCGATGACGTTGGAGCTGAACTTCTGGACGGAGAGGGCACATACGTTCCCAGTGAACTGACGGATGACGGCGTCGCTGAACCTATTGTCGTTGAGGTCGAGGATGTATTGAACGACCTAGTAACGAACGGAAGGATCAGATCAGGTACAAAGTGAGGAAGTAAGGGACAGTGTGAACGTACGTAGTTGCCGTACGGGTCCTGAACGAGGGTCAGCGCGTTGTACGGTCCGACGCGTGGTCGATACAGCGCTGAAGGACGCAGCACCCATGACGGTGAGTCGCAACCTCTACACAGTTGGCGGCGACCGCGTTGTAGATGAACTACAATCAAATCGAATCGTTAACGGTGAACAAACCTCCCAGAACGTAAGAACGGAGCCATACCTGATTATCCTCGGGCGCGAGCTTGTTGAGACACTTTTGAATGACATAGTTCCCGTTCAGATCCTTGATGAGCACGACGACATGGAGGCTAAGAGCGACGATGATGGAATGAATCTGGCCATGGTATCTATGATCAGTCTGCGTCGCGGCAAGGGCCACCCCGTAAGTGCCAGAGGTGGGTAATAGTTTGACGAGATTGTAACTCACCTGTCTGATCCAAATCAACGTCCGAGTTCTCGCTGCCATTCCCGTTTTATGTGTTCCCGAAGCTGAGCATCTGTGGGATAGAGTCGGGATGGTAGGGACCCGGGAAACCAGCAGAGCCAGGTCTGACCGGCTGCCGAGCGAGATGTTCAAAGCGTGAAACCCTCCGACCGGCCCCATGGACCCATAGATCGCCCCGCTGTCACCCTGTCCACCACCAAGCGCACCAACGAGCTCACTCGAGTGCCCCTCTCCATGATGCGTACCGTGCCTCGAATAATGCACATAGTCAGCGTACACACCCTCGCGTCTCCCCTATCACCCCGAAGGGCCAAACGTTCATCTGCGTGGTCGAATCGGGGGCGACCATCGACGAGAGAGAGTTGGAGTTGTTCGTTGCGTCGTGACCCGAGGCGGGAGAAGTGCACGGGACACGTCCGGGGAGGACGTATCGGGGAGATTACCACAGCTGATAGAGGCGCGGCGGGCTTCGTGCTGGGGACGTTTGCGAATGGCATTGGATTTTATAGAGATGGGTCGGGGAGAACCATGCAGCTGGAAGCTGTTTTGTGGCACAAGTCAAATGTGAAGGGCAGTGGATAGCCCAACCAAGACGGGAATGTGAGCAACATGATAAAGACGAGTCCGCATTCTGGAAGAAGAGATGTGGAAGGGCGATGGGCTTGGGGCATGTGTGAGGGGAAGGGACTTACTATAAACCGCAGCTGATTGGAAGGAGAAGCGGCGGAGGATCACAAGGAAGAGAGTGGATTAAAGGCGCGAAGACGAAGGCGAGGAAAGAAGCAGCCAAATGGTCGGATTAGCCTCTGGGAGATGAACGAATACTACCATAGAATGGCACAGAAGACTTACGTGTTGCAGACAGTCTTGCCCTCGTCAACCATCCTCCACAGAGCTCGCGCAGCATCTCCTTCACCTTGATGCCCTTGCGCACGAGCGTCGCGTCCTTTGTCGTCGCCGCGCGCTCGGCGATCACCGCCAGGTTATACGGCGCTTCTCCGCGGCGTTGGGGATGGAATGCACGAGCTGGACGAAGATCGATTTCGTCTCCATGTAGAGCATGTCCGACGAGGAGACGGTGTCGGCGAAGGCGGACTGGATGTCCTGCACTGGGGTTTCCCAGCGCGAGTACAGCTTCAGCTCGAGCGTGCGGTTCTCTTTGCGCGGGACTTGGGCAGGGGGGGGTCCGAGTTCGTCGGTGAGGATGCGGAGGTGCTGTTTGTCATTGGGGAATTGGGTGCGTTGTCAGTGTTTCAAATGCACAAGTAATATGGAGAGGAAGAGGAAGATACGCACAGGGGTTTCGATGCGTTGTGTGATCAAGGAATGTGTGTTCTACAGTTCCTTAAGGGTGATATGAATCATCAGGTCTTTCTTCGACAGAGCCATATATTGGTCCATCCCGAAGACAGTCAGCAACCACTCTGGAAGATAAGTAGAAGAGAAACCCACCTCAAGAGTGCCGTAGAAGTCTCCGACCTTGCAGATGTTGTTCAAGAACAGGTTGATCCGCGCCTTGTTGTTCTACGAACGGGTTCAGCGTCATCATGTACGCCTCCTTCGTATTCGACGGCTTGTTAGCCAAATTCTGCAACATCTTCGCGATCTGATTTTCACCGTCAGCATCAATTTAGAGCTTTGAGAATGTGAAGCACTCACCAAGGTCAACGTCCACCGGGGGTGTTTCGCGGGCATGCCGTCGACGAGCATGTACGCCTGAGGCGTCTCGATCGCTGGGTGAAGGAAGAAGAAACCGCCGATGAGCGAGCAGATCGCGTAGTCCGTCGCCTCCGGATACTTCCTCTACATGACAACCCAGCATCAGCACACTCATTCGACTGCGGTGCTACAGTAACTCCTCCTACCCGTGTCAAGCTCCTGATCTGCTTGCATATCCAACATATACCGTATGGCACGCTCTCCATCGACTCGATGATGGTCACCAAGAAGCTGTTTGCGATCTCCATCAGCATCGCCAGGCGTGGGGCGATGATGGATTGTACGTCGGGATTGGCCTGGGCGGTCTCAGGAGGCACCACGGGGTAAATTCTCAGGGAGAGAGCCTGTCTCTTCCTCGATCTGATTGATCATCTGCTCGTAAACCTGTAGGCAAGTCGTTAGTGATTTCGCGAGACACAGCAACACCAGCGCATGATGAAACTCGAAGGGTACAGTTGCGAGCCAAAAGCTGGTATGCATTTCCATCGAAACTGACAAACAATAACGGACCTTCACGGGGTTGATCTCAAGGTTGAGGTCCTTGTGTTCGATAAGGCTATTTATCCGCTCTGCCAGCACGCTCTTCAAGTAACTCTGGCCAGGACCTCGACGAGTATAATTCGTCATCATACGGGAAACGGGCGTATTGGCTCGAAGAAGTGATCCGAACTCGGTCGCGGAGTCAAACTGAGCGGAGAGCACAGACTGAAACATAGATAGTCAGGAGGAGATGCTCCTCTCGGCTCTCGTACTGGTTTCCGTACAGGGTGAACATCACCGTCTGAAGGTGGGTATCAATCTGGGAAAGGGAAATGAGACGACAGAGGGTGGCGACGTGTCGTGGCTCGGATTGGAGGAGGAAGAAGAGGTTGGAGTATTGCTGAAGCTTGCGTTCGTCGGGGTATTGGCCTTCTGTTGAGTCGACTTCTTCGAGATGACTTTCGACTTCGCGTTGCTAGCGGTGTAATATCGTCAGGCGGAAAGATGCGCGCGTATTTGGAATGGAAGCGACGCACCTCGTCAAGCGCCATCCTGTTCTGAATGAGGAGAGCTATTCGTGTCTCGAGGTAACGAACGTCACGCTCGAGGACGAAATTCTTCTTGGATTGAGCGGAGATACGAGACCTGAGGTGAAGCACCGGCGACGAGAGTAGTGAAGCCCAATAGACCTCGGTTGTTGAGTATTTGTGCGAGACCGAGAAAGTATGAATTCTGAGAACAGTAGTCAGAGCCAATGTGACATTGGTGCGCCGAGCTATCAGACTTCTGTATCTTAAATAGAGATATCAATCAGAGCATGTATGCAAGAGTCCTCACACCGTTCCAGGTATCAGAGCAATTTCAGACGGCGATGTCGTCGTGCTAAGCACAGAGCGAGACGCCTTTCCTGGACTGCCCTGATCCTAAAAGTATGAACAAATGGATAATATTTGAAAGACATACCTCATAATCTCGTTCAGCGTCCTGCTTCATTGGCCACATGATTCTCAAGGTATTCTGAGAGTTGGAGAAAGGCAAGACTAACAAACTTGACGAACAGAAGCTTGACGAGGTGTAGGGAAGAAGACAAAGACGACGCGTGCGAGTTTCAAACTTCAGTACATAAGCATCCAAAAACGGACATTTCTCGCCACACATCCTTCTTAGTAGGGGCCTACAGTAATAAGTTGATTAAAAGACCCCGACAAGTTGTGAATCTCCCATGGCATGGAACGATACCGCGTAAAATGCATTGTTCAGAGATCCTTCAAAACCCCATGTATATATTTACAGTAATTTACCACAGCAAAACAAGCAGACTGTCCAGACGAACGAAGAGACCCGGCACGATCCAAGAACCCCATATTCCCCTCTCTTCACAATCCAACGACTCCAACCAGCCTCTCCCATAGAACAAGGCTCGCCTCTTAGGCCACTCGTCCAGCTCGATTTCGAAGAACACTGTAATATTGTTGGTTCAGGCCGAGGAGACATAGGCGGGGGAGTGTGCTGCAGATGAGGCCGTTTGACATCGGATGAGCAGGGAAAGTTGATGGCGATAGGCTCGAGGCTCGTCGATAAGCCGGTCGAAGGTTGCTAATAACGCCACATATTGTGGTTAGAGTCTTGAACGAGCTGAGAACAAAAGGGTGAGCTTACCTTGGCATAGGAAGGCATCAAACCTGAAGCTCACCGCAATTCCAGAGCGATCACCGTTCTGGGGATCCACTAGGTCAAAAAGCAAAGGCGAAAGGTCCTTTCGTGCCTCCAATGAAAGCATCTGCACATTCACCAGCACCGGCAACACGCCCCATACCGCCGTGTCGTATCCTACCCTTCAACACCTCTAAATGCTCGCACAGCTTCAAAACCTTTAAACCTGTTTCCTCACGAGCTCTACCACGCTAGGGAGCAGTTCCGGGTAGTTCAACTCTCTCGACGCGCTGAGTACGATTAACGAAAACTGGCGGAGTGCGGCCATAGGGGTCTTGCAAGCACGGAAAGCGGAGGACGGAGTGTGAAACCACACGTAATGCGTAGAATCTCGAGGTAGAGTCCATATTGGAGGTGGTCGAGAAGGAGATCGAGGAAAGGCTGAGAGTCTGCGAAGCAGTCATAGAGCTCGACGGAGGTGAGGTGATTGGTGTTGACGAGGCTGGAGGCGATGACGGCGTTGCTGACGTCCAGCGTGAGGGTACGGAGAGTAACGACGAGTTCAGACTTGAAGAGGGTTGGGATTGCGGGGACGTCGGGGCCGCGGTACCAGAAGTGAGTGAGTTGGATGGGATAGGATTGGAGCTTGTCGAGCTGTACGAAACGTGTGACGATATAAGCAAGGGATGGATGAGCCGACAGCAGACAGAGACGTACAAGATACCGAGATGATTCAGCGTGCGATGCCGTTTTTCGGTCACCTTGAACACATTCGCTTGCGCCTCGTCGCCATTTGTGACCGAAAGAGGGCCAAAATCGGTGAGTTTGCTGAGGAGGACGGAGTACATGCTTGTGTAAAGTGTGTGGCGGCACGCGCTGTCCGGGAAGGGGCATCCGTAGCATGCAAGGGCTGAGCGCCGGATGGTGTGGGTCGATGTGGAAGCAGAGTGTGAGCAGCAAACATAGCAGGCGCGAGACTGTGACTCACTGGGAAGGGTGTCGCCGGTGAAGGCTGCAGGAAGGGGGAGCCGACCCTGGGGAGCGTGATTCTTCTACGACGAACCAACGGCTGGGGAGAGGAAGCCTGCAGAAAATGAGAATTGCTGTATAGAGGGGAGGGTGAGATATGGGTGTCAGACATACCGCTGCTTCCTCGGGCTGTCCGTCATTGTCTGCATGTTGTGAGTGTTGGCGTGAAGAGAAGAGTGTGAGGGCGGGAGCACACTGAAAAGATATGCATCCGAAAGCAAATACATACAAGAGGTCAGGAGTTCAGGGAGCATCGAAGAGAATACAAGTAAGAGCTTCCTTTCTTCTGAGATCCTTGCAAACGTCCAAGATCTCGACGACGTAGGCGTGCTGGCGAAGGTACCCGGACGCCCGTTGCGGCGCATGGGTACGACGCCGTTCAAGGAGCCGCTCGTAGGGGCCTTTGGGAAGTGCAGAAGATGCTTAGATATATGAAGAAGATACAAGATAAAGACACAAACCTTGAGTGTGGCTTCGAGAAAGTCTTGAGCCGGGGTAAGTTAACGACGAGTGCTGAAGAAAGGAGTTCAAAATGACCGGCCAATCAAGGCAGCGGCGTAGAAGGTAAAGAGAGACGAGTAACCACCAGACTGCCTGCTCTCGGAGGTCGCCCAGTCGGCGAGCAGTCTGGTGGGGTCTGGAAAGGAGATGGTGGTAGTCTTGAAGGAAGCGCGTTCGCGTCGCGGAATCAACAAAGTCACAAGTCCGCAACGGAAGGCTGTGTGGCACGAGCCACAGCAATGCCTATAACATTCCTCTACACTGTCTCCTGTTACTTATTTCTCTGGGTGCTACCAAGCGGATAATAAAAGAATTTTATCCATTCAATCTGAACCCACCATGGCACATTGACTGGACAGATGATGAGGTGCGATGAATTACCAAAGTGAAAAGAAACAAAATGTACATTCAACGACTCGGAAGTAGCTGCATCATCTCATCGTTACATGTGCATGGCGATCAGAAGTATGATTCACAAAGAAAAAGGTAGCCTCATCTAACACGGTACTGGACTTCCACTCACGAGGTGCCACAGGTCCAAACTTTGGAAAAAGGTGCACACTGCGGTGAATGTTCGCCACAGGAATGATACTCGCCACACGTTGTCCTTGTGGGTCCAACACACGGCGAATCTTGTACATACGATGATATCGTTCCGGTCGCCTGAAAGCCGTGAACCACTCGATATATGCAAGATGCGTTGGCGGAAGAGGGCCATGTCCAAATCAAACGTCGAGAGCAGAGGGTGGAAGACTGAAGACCAAACGGACTTGAGCGACACGATATCCTGTTGGCGGAGAAGTAGGTCAGCGACCGAAGAAGCAAGTTATCAAATAAACTCGAAATTATGATAGACATACCTTTTACGCCAACATCCTTACCGGTCCCATCGTTTACCAGCACTGTATCAAAGCGCGCAGGAACCTCACGCCCTCGCCCAACCTTCCGCTTAGGTTTTTACATGGACTGCGTCAACAACAGAATGCGAGGGTCCGTTGCTTGTGTAATAATCCGTGGAGCAGTACTTGATGGTGTGAAAAACAGGGACTGTCCGGAACGGCATAGAGACGACAGAGGCCTTCCGTTCGAGCTCCCGACGAGTCAGTCCAGGAAACCGAAGATCGGTGATGTTGAAGAAAAGAAAGCGCACAATGGTCCGAGGAGCACAATGCCCCCCTGTCCGACACAAGGTCTTCGATTCCCACAGCGAACGCGCAGATATCGGCGGGGTGTTTGGTGGAGATGATAGGGCACATGAATACGAGGCTTTTGAGCCCCTCGCGAGCTTGATTGAACGAAAATTGATTGAGTTTCGGTCAATTTTGCGACTGGGGGCCACTCACCACCAGAAATCGCCATGGCGAGCCCGGTATTGCTCCGTCCAACGATGTGAGCATATCTACGAGGTCGCATTAGTGTGTGGAGTGAGAAACAGCACCAAAAAGCATACCGTGAACCTCACAGTTCCGAGTGCGGGGCCTTTGGGGGAAAGGGAGCACCCCCCCAGCCAAAAAGTCGAAATTCATCGCGAGAAGGAGCGTGCGGACCCCGGACCTGTTGCAGATACGCTCTATGGAGTGTAATGAGTGCCTCAACGCAAAAAAAGACGAGATCAAAAGGGAGGGAAAAAAGTGCACAATGGTCGGAGGTGTAATGTCCAGGCTTGAATAGAGATTCAAGAGTGGACACGCGTTCTGGTGCAGGTGTGATAGCTATCACAGGTGCGATCGGCCGTGTTCTAAGAAGCCTTGCTTCTAGGTCAAAAGTCTGGTGTAGTGGCGATTCTACACAGACAAAGGTTCTTGATGTCGATAAGGGAAGCTAGTCCTGCTGAAAGGACTAGTTCAAGTACGAGCAGATAGACGAGGTAAATCAGAGATGAATAGGTTAAAGAACTCCCCTCTACTAGGGTCGTCCTTATATAGTACATACATGCGCAGCCGCAGGAGGCTATGAAACTAATAAGTAAGTCAGACCGAGTCGTGTTAGTACTGTGCCCCAGTCCGTAGTCGCTGCGGAATCCTGTACCCAATAAATATAGTACAAAGCCTATGCAAGGCTATGAAGCACAGTCCTAGGCTATGAGAAACGAGGTAGTCCGTAGTCGAGAATACAAAGGAGTCGAGACACGTCTACAAGTCCATAGAATGTTCATCAACCGGCCGTATGAGTGGATGATGTGTATGTAGTTAAATAAAAAGGAAACTGAGACTGCACATCCGCGTCTCCTGCGGTATCAGACATGTCGAGCAGAAAAGAGGACGAAAATTATAGTCCATAACAAGAACGAACCGGCAACTAAGCGAGAAC